ATGGCTCAGCACTGGCTGTTCTTGCAGAAGACCTGGGTTTGAATCCCAGCACCCACCTGGAGGCTAACAACTGTCCGTAACTCCAGTTCCAGGAAATTCGATGCTCTCTTCTGTCCTCCCCTGGCACTAAGATGACATGGGTGCCCTTACACGCATACAGCCATATACACTCATATACATTAAAAAAAAAATCTCTGCTGGGTATGGTAGTGCATGCCTCTAATCCCAGCACCTGAGGGTCAGAGACAGGCAGAGCTCTGTGAGTTCAAAGTCAGCCTGGCTACATAGGGAGTTTCAGGCCAGCTGTAGACTATAGGAAGACCCTGTCTCAAAAAGACCAAAAAAAAATTCTTAAAAAAAATTATGTGTATGAGTGTTTTGCCTGCCTGTATAGTACACTTGTGTCATGCAGTGCCTGTGGGGGCCAGAAAAGGGTGATGGATATTAGTTACTGATGATTATTATTGGCTATGTGGGTGCTGGGAACCAAGCCTTGGTCCTTTGGAAGAACAGTCAGTGCTTTTAACTGGTGAGCCATCTCTCCAGCCCCAGTTTATCCTTTAGGATTTAAGCACACTTTCTGGAAATTTCTTCCTTTTTAGATAATCACAAGTTCACTTCTTCATATTTTAATGAACTCCACTAGAAACCGAGGCCTGAAGGAGGACTTAGAGGTGAATGCGTCTTTCTCAGGCAGTTCCATTCTCTCAGGAATCAGGCCCAAAGCCCAAAATAGCCTCGAGTTCTTCATTCAATGCCTGCTTTATGGGAACTGAAGCTGAAGGAAGAAGGGTGGAGACTCCGTCCCAAAACCTTGGGGGCATATAGTTTTTAAAAAATTTGTGTAAAATGTGTCTCCTCAGCCATCTCTCCACACCCACATTCTTCAGGTTGAGATTCTTGGCATAGAGCTGGAAGGCCTGGCTCTCCCCACACCAAGCCCTTTTCCCTCTGAGGAAGTCAGGGTCTACATAGTTCAGGTGCCCTGTTGGCAGCTAAGCCAGCCAGCCTCCTGTCTGTCTCTACCTCTTGACCCCAGCCCCACCCACCCTCCGTGGACTGTGGCCTGATTCCACTTATCTGAGACTGGGTGGGTGTTTCCTGCATGTTTGAGATTTTATGCAGGAAATAAAAATAAAGGAACAAAGCCTTTATTTCTGAACTCCAACTAGGGATGGCTAGAAGGGTGGAAAGAGATGCAGGAACTGGTCAGTTGGCACCTTAACAAAATAACCATTCTAATAGAGCAGTTCACAGGGACTGTTCTATTTAGGATTGGTGTGGGTGAATAGGGAAGCGGGGTGAAGGGCTGGGAGAGAGCCTGTGTGTGTAGGTGAATACAGTAGGGTAGGGCAGCTGTTGCCCCTGGCAGGGTCTGTGATGTTGCCAGGCTCAGGCCACCCAGCTTGGCTGCAGAGCTGGTAACCTGGGGTGGGGGGATTCAGAATTCTCTATCATGCCTTTCCTGGAAGAAGCCTCACTTGCTCTTGTCTGTGTGGTCTTGAGCGAGTCCTCTACTTCCATGAGCTCCTGTTCCACATTCAGGACAGAGAGTGCCCCAGCTGCCCCGTCTGCCTTTCTTCTTTAATCCGGTTATACTGGGTCGGGCTTTCGTTCCATATATGTGGAGAGGTAGGAACCCAGTATTTCTTCATTCTTCCCAAAGGATTTTTCTCCTTGTAGAAAAATTACCCAAGTCTCAATGCCGGCCCCCTATACCTGCAGTACTTCTGAGTATCTGAGGATGAAGGGCCATGAGTACTGACTGTCTAGCCTTCAGGGTCAGCTGCCCACTGTGCCCCACATGTGTACAGTAGGTTTGGTGTCTTAACTCGCTAGGCCCCACCAAGACACTACTGAATCATACAACAGACTTTCACCCAGAGCTTAGGAGGAAAGGGGTTACCTGTGACTTAGAACAGATCAAAAGTTAAAGTGGAGGGTCAGTCATCCTCCTCTTGCTTGGTCAGACCCTTGCAGAATTTCTCCCTTGCCTGGGTCTCTTTCAATCTAATTGACTGCCATCTCCACAGACCTTCTGAAAAGTCTGCATTTCCATCACTTTTGATCACACAGCAGGGATGACAATTCTAGACTAAGCTGTAGGCTGTACTTTTTAATTCTGGAAAGGGACATTGAAAAGCTCCTGTAAGTCAGAATTCAGTATCCTAGCCCTATAAGAACACAGAGCCGCAGGAATGCTGCTGTCTTAATTAGAGCTATTTCCAGCTCTTAAAGTTAGCCTGTGTCTCCTAAGGACCGTGGAAACCCAAGAGTTAATTTGTTTTTTTTTTTTTTTACTTTCCTATGAGAAAATTTTAAGTAGTTGTGAATGGTAGAGATGGTGGATCTGCACATGTTAACTGACCTCTGCAGGGAGGTACACTGACTGTCTATTGGGGAAGTCATACTACATCATAAACAATTAAGTGTTAAATGCCAGCATGTAACGTGTGGTCAGTAGATAGTAGGGTGCTTTGGAAGGGCATAAGAGTAATCTCATCTAGTCTGGGTATGCAGTGGGTGTCAGGGGAGTACATTATGGTTACAATTATTCATCCTGGCCATAGGCCTTGACCTGGCTCTTTTGCCAACTGGCCTCTGCTGTTAACCCACCAATAATAGTTTTGTGTAGTTTTCAGTTTGCTGAAGGTTGGATGGCAAGCAGAGGACCAAGTTCTTAGATAAGGTCTTTTGTTTGTTTGAGACAGGGTCTTATGTATCCAGGCTGGCTTCAAACTTGCTATGTAGTAGAAAATGACCTTGAACTTCTGATCTTCCTGCCTCCGCCTCCCAAGTGCTGGGATTATAGGTGTAAGTCACTGGATGTAGTTTATGCAGTGCTGGAGATCAAACCCAGGGCTTCATACATGCCAGGAAAACGCTCTACAATCAGAGCCACATCCCAGCATCTAGATTAATGACTTGTAGTGAAAGTACTGTATGTAGAAAGCATAGGGGTGGAAGACTGGCCACTCAGTCAATACTGACCTTTGGATGAGTCTTGCCTTGGGGATGGAACAGCCTGTCTGCTCTCCCTTCTAAGCCATAGCTGCTTTGTTATGAGGGCAGAGGAAACAGAAACAGAAAACCATAGCCCTTGGGGAGTGAGATGTGGAGAGTGGCCTCTTGTTTTTCCAGCTAGAGGGCTTAAAATCCAGAGTTTGGAAGACTGTCTGTCTGAGAAGGCACCCTGCCCTGCCTCAGGCCCTGGTTGGACACTCAGGACCAGGGCCCATGGCTTGTCCCCCTCCCTGTCCCACTTCACAGGCCTTCACAGAGGAAAATCCCTTTGGCTTGCTTGTTGCTGTGTCCAGCTCATTTTCAGGAAGTTTCCCTTTTATTTGGTCCATCCATCTGGTTAGTCTTTAAAAATGGAGATTGGATTGCTTCCCCCTGCCTCTGGGAAGAGCCTAGTTCCCATTTCTTTCCCTTTTCTGGTCAAGCACTAAAAAATGTTCACATTCTTTGTTAATGGTGTTTATTGTTTTGAATATAAATGATGAAAACCAATCAAAACAATATTCTGTTTGAATGTGCCTTTTGCCCGCCACCTCCCTGGGTCTGAGCCACTCCTGAGGCGGGCTGTGTGACGTTCCTGTGGAGAACACGCCTCTGGAAATTTCCTTTCAGTCCAAGGAGTATCTGCGGCTGCTTGGGGTCAATTCCACTCTCTTTCATCTTTTTCCTCTTTGCTGCCAGATCCAGGCCAGGCCAAGCAGTGAGAAGAGTGTGCCCCAGGCCACCTAGGATTTGTACAGGCTAGAAAAGCTCAGAGAGGTAGCTAGTGACCTGGACTGGGCCACTGCAAGGTGAGAGGATGATTTGTTTGGCTTATACAGTGTGAAAAACTTTTAAATTGATGGCCAGTATTTTAAAATCTGGAGTTTTCACACAAAGATCAGACTTCTGGCTACTCTTTAAAAAATGTAAGCTATCAGGCCTGGAGAGATGGCTCGGCAGTTAGGAGCACTGGCTGCTCTGGTAGAGGACCCAGGTTTGATTCCCAGCACCCACATGGTGGCTAACAACCATGCATAACTCCAGTTCCAAGGAATCCATCTCCATCTTCTGACCTCCATGGGCATTGTACCACACGGGTGCACTTACACACATGCAGGCAATACATTCATATGCATAAAATAAAAATAATAAATAAAAATATTTATAAATAAAAATAAAATTGTAAGCTATTGGGAAGCAGGGGCAGGATAGGTGGGTTAGCAGTTCCAAGCCAAACTAGGCTATTCGAAAACAGGACACAATAAATTATCTGTCCTGCTGCAGCTGTCAACTGGGGCAGGGCTGTAGATGGCCCTATGACAAAGGTGACAAGGTCTGCCTTCAGCCCCCTTCTCCACTCAAGGAATCTGACAGAGAAAGGGAGGCAGAGAGAGGCATGCTAAGAGTATCGGGGTTAGACCTCAGAGAAACATGCACGGCTGTGGACAAACCACCGAACTTGTCCTTCAGGGCTTCAGAGGGCTGGCACTGGGGAATAACGGCTGCCCCTGGGAGCCTGGCTGACATTCCACAGACTAAAATAAGGGGATCCATGGAAGAGGCCCAAGGAGGTAGAATAGGGCTCAGTTCAGAGGAGCCTGGGAGCCGGGCAAGGTGGCACATGCCTTTAATCCCAGCACTTGGGAGGCAGAGGCAGACAGATCTCTCTGAGTTCAAGGCCAGTCTGGTCTACATAGAGTGTTCCAGGCCAGCTGGGGCAACAGGGAGACCCTGTCTCAAAAAGATCAAAAAAAAAAAACAAAAAAAAAACCCAAAAACAAAATTAAAAACCCTGAAGAGCCTGGGGAGATAGACATAGCTCATTAGAGAAGGATGTTGGAGGCAGTTCAGATGGATACTCACTGGCAGGCTATACCTATAGGTAAAAAACCTAGACACTGCCCCGGCCCCTGAGGACACCCTGCTAGGAATTAGTGGGAGCAGAGACTGTGTGTTGGGCAGCTGAGGGAGAGGCTTAGAGAGCCCTGTCTTTTCAGGGAGCTTCAGAATTCCACGCACAAGTTTCCAGAAGGGTCTTTGTGCCTGGGCAGCTGAGGAGAAGTAGTGCTGGAGAACTGGGTGGTCGACACTGGAGGAAGCAGCCCTGGTAGAGGGCAGACTCTAGCTACTGAAGTGGGCAAGCCCATGCAGCAGAATTACTGGACCTTGGCCTTGAATTTGAGGTAAATGGATGAAGTGAAGGGAAGGGAAAGAGTAGAAGACTTGTCAGAATGTGGTGGAAAGGTGGGGAAGGGGCAGGGTGGTGGCTGAATCCAGTCCATGCAGGGCTGAGCTGGACTGAGCTGCAGAGTAGCAGTGAGGAGGTGAAAGGTGAACAGAGGACTTAGCTGAGCCAGAACTGGGCAGGGCAGGGCTGCAGCCTGCCAGGTTGTGGTATGGAGGGCCCTCAGCTTGGGGAACCCCAGAGTGTCAAAGGCCAGCACTCCTTGTGGAGTGACCACTAGTGTGACCTTTCCAGTCACATGTAGATTACTATGGAAGGCTGAAGAAATTCCATCCCTTAGCTGCAGGTGGGATTGCCCTAGCACTAGGAAAATATTAATTGACCCCTGGGGACTGAGAACAAGGATTTCAAAAGAAAACAACCTTTTCCTCTCTTCCCTTCGCAGCCACTCCAGGAAGCCGTGAGCAGGAGGCAGCCCTGCCACTCACAGAACCTGTGTCAATCAGGGGCTCTACTCCTCACTCCTGGATTGAGAGCCTCTCTTTTCTGTTTACCCTGCCTTTGCTGAGGATTAGGGGAAGTGGGTGGGATTCCCAAGGCCAGGTAAGACCTGCAGTTCTGAAGGTTGTGTGGACCCTCAGACATCTGTCCCTTCAACCCCTCAGCTCTAGGAACCCTTAGACCCACCAGGCTTGGGCTGGGTGAGTGGAAGTAAGGCGGAGTTGTAGTTTTGTAACTTGCCAGAGCATAGGAGCTAACACCTCAGTTTTCTCCATTTACTAGCCTGTACTTTTGGGCAAATGCCTTAACATCTCTGACTCTGTCTCCCCTTGGGTAAAATGGGGTAGTAACCCTCCCACTGGTTTCTGCCTCAGGCCTGGGTGACTCAGGTGGGCCTCATCTGAAATACCCGTTTCTGTCCTCTTCCTTACCCTCCAATCTTTCCCCACCTGCTTCCTTTCTCTGAACTTCTAGGGCACTTTGGGTTTGTACTGTGCAATATCTAGCCTGATGCAGTCTCTGTTGGCATTTGCCTACTGGTTAACCTCCCTGTGGCCATCACAGTACGTTGGAGGGCCCATGTGACCAAGAGGCCATCCAGCAAGTCTACAATACATTCCTGTGCTGGCTTATGATAGGTGAGGATCTGCGGGGCCTCTAGTACAGGAAGGCCCGCCACACCTTCACCTGCCTAGCCTTCCAGCCCGCACTGGACCCTTCATCATCGGATGCTTTAAAGCAGTCACTGTGTGCCAGGCACCATACTGAGTTTAGTGGGTGCAAAGATGAAGATCCCTAGTTTTCCATCCTCCCATCTCATATTTGTGCTGTACACACATCTGCATTCCATACTCAGACACATGCCACTTGTAGCACCCACTGTACCCTTGGTTTTCATGCTTCTGAGCTTCATAGCTTTGCAGCTTCCATCCCTTACCTGAGATGTGGCCTTTACTAAGAAGCCTTCCTTAGCCTGGCAAAGATGCCCCCACTCCTGAACTCCTGCATTTTTTGGCTCTGTGTGCTATAGTCTGTGTCTCCCATACATACTGTGAGCCCCGAGGACTGGGCTTAGGCCTGTTCATCTCAGTATCCTCAGTTACCAGAACCCAGCACACAGGATGTGTTCCTGAACACTGTCTGGCATCAGTTGTATAGAGCGTGAGCAGATATGTATCCTGAAAAGCTAGCTGCACTGGCTTCTCACCTAGTCCAATCTTCCTGGGCACTCTTCTCTGATCTCAGGTAAAACTTGGCTGTTTTGCATGTCCTGTGACCTATGATTTTATATCTTTCTAATGATATACTCTACAAAGCACAGGACACTAGGAGAAGGCTTGGTTTTTTTTTTATTAGAGAACACTAGGATTTAAAAGCTAGACAACACTGTTGAGTGCTGAACTCAGTATCTTCTGCATGCTCTGCAGTGAGCAAGTAGGTCTAGAATTCTCGGAGACATGCAAAAGAAGGTATGGCTCTCATCTCTGAGAGACTTACCTCTCATCTGTGCCCTCCAGCACAATGAAGCCAGTGCAACTAGCATGAGAGCCTTCCAGCAATGAGGCAGTGAGTTGTATTGAGCCATCTCCTGTGGAGTGGCTAGTTTTCCAGGAGACTTCTAGCTTGGGAAGGGTCTTGGAACAGCAGGAGGTCTTCCTGCCAGAGGAGGAACTGGGCTGCTGCTGCAGCTAACCATCTGATGCTTACTGGGGGAGTCACACTGTGCTGGACACTGGGTCATGCAAATATACCCAGCCACTCCTAACACCCCGAGGCCAAGTGTTTTCCACTGTGCCAGAAGGCAGGTGACTTGCCTGAGGTTATAGGCTTCTGGTCCCACAGCGCCAGTTCCTTGGTGCGGAGTTCCAGGTGAGAGGCCAGTCCCAAGACTGGCGGGAGCAGTGCCTCTGTAGTAGCTCCACAAGTGGATGGGTTGCACAGGGGCCAATAGGGAGGACAAGGTCCCACATGACAGTGATGTAGCAAAATGAGATTTCAGAGCTGCCTGGTGCTCCTACTTCCTCCCTAGCCTACAAGGTGGGTCCTATCTGCTGGGACCAGATCTGTGTCCTGTGCAGCAGGCTTGGTCCCAGGCAGAGCAGTGGGTCATAGTGACTAGCACTGCCCTGCTCTCACCTGCCCCGCTCTTCCTTCCGTGGGGACAATGATCTGGCCCTGGTGGCATCTCTGACTCAGATACCACCTCCTTGGCTCACTACGGCTCTCTCCCTAGCACTCCGGGATCTGCTGCCTAGCTATGCATACACGCCCATCATCCTCCCAGCCACAGGAGGATGCTCAGCCTGTGGTGACTGAAACTACCTTGCTCTTATTTGTGAGTGTGTTTTGCCCACATGTATGGAAGTGCACCATGTGCATACAGTACCTATGTCAATCACCTTATTGCTGCTTGTCAGGAGTGCTGTGTCGAAAATTATTCTAAGGCTTAGCAAGGAAGAGGTCCACCATCAGTTAGTGGCATCTGCCATGGCTCTGGAAATGGGAAGGAGCAGCACCCACACCACACACTTGCCGTTTGGACTTGGTGCTTAAGACCCTTAGCAGCAAGAGACTACATATTGGTTGGCTGGGTAGCTAAATCTTAGGAATGGAGGGAGCTGGGTGCATTATGGGCTGTCTAGAGGGGTAAGTGGTTCAGTGACAGTGTTAGCTTGAGTTAGCACAGACATCAAAGGGCAGGGGAAAAGTCTTAGGGAGGGATGCCAAATGTCCTAGACCCCTGGTGGGTCCCATACCACTTATGCATAGCGTGTAGGTCAGCAGCTGGGGGAAACTGCCCATTTCTGGGAATTGTGCAGAAGGAAAGGGCAGCTCCTGGAATGCAGAGCCATTTCCTCCACATGGGTTGGGTCACTCCCCCCAATGTGTCCTCATCCCCCCAGTGCTGGGCACACCCAGACATCACAGAGATGAGATTAGCTTCCCTGGACTGATTCAGCTACATGTGATTGCACTCTCAGAAGAGCTACATTAACGATGAACTCATCCTCCTCTCCCAGCCTTACTTACTTAGAAAACTTGCGGCTCAACTGATGGGCTCCTGAGGAATCTCTAAAACAATCAGCGTCAAGACAGAAAGGTAAAAGAACAGTGAATACCAGGCCCTCAGTAGGCAGCATCTTTAAGGGTTCACACCGTTGCTCTGGCCCCTTACAATCAATGGTCCTATAGTCAGTGCTAGGGAGTCTGCGCAGGATGAAGAATGCCCAAGGGGTAGTGAATCACAGTGACAGGTAAAGTTGTTTGATGCTGCAAATGAATTCACAGGCAGTTGACCAAAGAATTGGAGGCTATGTGGCTTGGCAGTTCTAAGCAGGACCCTTAGTGTCTGACCACTCCACAGCAAAAGTCCACTGAGGGGTAGTGGCTGTTACTACTGTGCACCACCTCTGGGTAGCCAGGACTATATGACACTGCTTTGAAAGTGGTGCCAGGTGGGATCAGTGGGTGGCCACTGAACCTTTGGACCCATTGACAGTGTCTTCCACTGCCACCATTTCTTTCATGTGCACAGCTGTCTTGTGACATTGGACAGTAGCTTGGGGCTATTCTTTTGGGAAACAACCTCTGTAGGAACCCTAGAACCTGTGAAGAAGAGGAAGATGACTGTCCTATGCATTATATGTTACTGCAAGGACCTTCCCTTAGCCCTATGTGGTGTGGGTGCCCTTAGGCCAGGGCAGGAACTGAATTGAGTCACTGGAACACAGTAGCTTGAAAGAGAAAGCAGGGTCCAGTTAATTTCCCTGTCAGTGCACCACATGCCTTTGCTCAGGGACCTTCCATGTTATTTTCATTGGGCCCTTGTTCTCTTGTTTTTTAATTGGGGGAACTGAGACTCTAAGAAGTGAAGAAGCTTGCCCTAGGTCACAGAGGAAGTCTGTATCAGAGGTATGATCTGCCTGACTGCAGAGCCAAGGCTGTTACTGACCCCCTAGGCTGCCCTCATGAGAGCTACTAAGCTTTGTGCGACCTTGTTTCTGGCTGATCTCAGATCTACCCACCGCATTTGGAAACTTGCTGAGTGACAAGGATGTGCTGGGGTCACTACCCAACTACCTATTCCTATGGGTGTGAGCTGGCCTCTTTCAGAAGGATGGGCATTATATCCCTGCTTCTTGGCAGACAGGTGGCTGCACTGGGCAGGAGCAGTAGCCACTGAATTCATAGACACTGAGCCTCCTATGTGTTGGGCCCCACCTGGCCCTGTGAGAGGCAAGAGAATGGGGAAGTGCGGCTCTCATTGTCATGAAGTTTATTATCTGTTTGGGGATGTGGGTCTGGCATTCGGGAAAGAGTTTAATGTAAGATGGTGTTGACTATGGATAAAAAGAAAGAAAGAAAAAAAAAAGGCCCCAAACTGACAACAACCAAAAAAGCTTACTTCTCAATTTAAAGATGCCTGAGGTTTTTATATACATGTCATTAAAATCACCAAAAAAGCAATATTGCCTTTTAGGAAGAAGTTTCCAGTATGAGCAATGGTTGAGGCTGCTTGGTGTACAGCCTGTGGGCTGGGCTGGGCTGGGCTCTGGGAGCAGCAGTTGCCATGGAAACCAGCTCAGCTGCCTCCACTGCCAAGTGGCTACTGTTCCAAAAGTTGGTTCCTATGTGGAGGGGGCTGGAACCTCAGAGCCTTTCCCATGGAAACAGTGCCCTAAATGATGGGTGACGTTCCCACATAGACCTACTTCATCTGGCTGTAATGGAGCTGAGGTGGCAGTGGGCTTCTAACCAGAGAGGAGGCAGCTGGGAATCGCAGAGCCTCAGAGAAGAGCAGGGGGTTGGGGAGATGCTCTCCCTTCTGGGAGCAAAGTAAGCAGATGAGAAAGAAAGAATCTGAGCACCTCCTCTGAGCTAGGCCTATTTCATACATTTTTATGTCATGCCTTAGTCCTGCCGAAAAATGATTCTCTCACCAGTCCCACTTTACATTAAGATACTGGGGCCTGGTCAACAGACAGGACAGTATATACCACAGAAAATAAGTGGCAAACTGTAAGGAGGAACCGCCTCCTGTATACCACCTCCCCACCTCTTAACAACCATCCATGATTCCCCAAAGTGAAGAGCCAACATTC